GACCACAACTGTGGAAATTTCACTAAATAGTTTTCATAAGATGTAAAATGAACTGATTCAAATTCAAATCTGACTCATTTCTAGTTATGTAATTTTGTTAGAAATGCCACCCTTTCCCAAGTAGGGGTCTCTGCAGAACATGTTGTCCTGTGGGCAGAGATGTCCCAAATTGTCATTGGCCAGGTCTTAAAGTGGGCGGAGACATCCCTGCTTGTGATTGGCAGAGGTGTGATGTGGGCGGAGATGGCCCAAGAGACGTGATTGGTTGGACTGACGGTGAGGTATAAGCGAGCTGGAAGCAGCGGGGAGTAGCTTGATCGAGTCGGGCAGGAAGTAACATTTCTTTTAGATTTTAGTCATAACTTGAGAAAGGAATGTGCTAGCTTCACGAAATTTGAACGTCATACAGTACATGTGAAAGGATGTGCAACAATATGACTTGGTTAAAACATCCCTAACCAGCCTGTTAAAAGGTAGCTAAAAATCAATATTTTTTACAGGCTGGGTTGTTKTAACCAAACCATATTGTTACACATCCTTTCACATGTATGACATTCAAATTTCTTGAAGCTAGCGCGTTCCTTTMTCAAGTTATGACTAAAATTAATCTAAAAAAGTARCTTCCTGCCCAACTCGACCGAGCTACTCCCCGCTGCCTCCAGCCTGGCAGCCTCATACCATCAGTCCGACCAATCACGTCTCTTGGGCCATCTCTGCCCACATCAAAATCTCCGCCAATCACGAGTAGGGCYGTCTCTGYCCACAGGACAAAACCTACTGCAGAGACCCCTTACACCCCTTTCACACTCCTTTTCACTCGTATGCGGCTCTCCAGAGGAAAGTGAACAGTGGTTCTCTGGGAGCAGGAGAAGACGTCTACAAGATCTTCAGTAACACAGTTTGGCTACATAAATCATAAAGAATATATTTATAAAACAACATCCTGTAGAAAGCATACAGCAACTTGTAAATTCTGATGTTTCATTTTCAGAGATGATGGGAACTACATCAAACTTTTATTGTCACTAACATTAGCTAACATTAGCAATCTCCCTCTGTTGAAAAATTCTTTACTCAGCCCTCACACAGAGATTTTGTCAATATTAGCTTTACATATAAAGTTGGCTACATGTGTAAAGAATATTTTATATTTTAGGGAACTAGTTTTCTTTTTTTTCTGGTCTTAGCCTTGTCTCGATCTCGCCCTCTCTTGGTCTTGGTCTCGACTTGATCCAGGCCCTGAAAGTCTTGGTCCTGTCTCTGTCTTGATACACTATGGTCTTGGTCTTGACTTGGTCTCTGGTGAGATGGTCTTTACAACACTACTGGCCCATGTAGACCTTGTAGGCCAGGTTCTATGAAGGACTCAGCCCTTAAATTTGGATGCAGTCATTGACATTGTAAATAATGTTATGCTTCCAACTTTGTAGCAACACATTGAGGAAGTCCTTTTCCATTTCAATATGACTTCCCCAGAGCACAAAGCAATTGCCATACATGCTAAACTAAAACCCTGCACTGAGTTCACATAGAACTCTGMCCTCAACACCACTGAGCACCTTTGGAACAGAAACAAAGACTTTCTCACCATGAAATTCTCCACCAACATTGGTGCCTGAACTCATAAATGCTCTACAGAAGGGGCACAACTTTCCCCARTAATACAAGTGAAAGCAGTTAGGCAAAATCCATACAGTCCCTGTTAGTGTGATGGTCAGATGGGACCTAAAAAAGACATTGGAAGAAATTAAAAAATTACACCAAAGCAAAGCAAGAATGGTATAATCAGATGACATTCAGGGTCTCAATGACCTTCCTGTTAGTTTTAAAGCAGCCATGAGGAAAACGTGTTGCATTCACTGATCCATTTGAGAGGCCTGAGAGGTGAATACATGGAAAGCCAAAGGGGTCTTAATTTGCACACTTTAAACCCACCACTGATGTATTATTACCTGGTGTTTTACAATGGCCACATGTAAACAGAGCTCTAGCACTCACCACAAGGTGCATTTAGTTCAGTATTTATTTTTTATTTTGCATCAAGATTAGACTGAATTATTAAAACCTTTTTTTCTGTTTAGTTAGGTTTTTTTCCCCCATTATTTTTAAGCTTTTGGAGATAATCAAACATATTGTATTACACTTGGCCCATTGGACTGTTTACAGTTAAAATCAGCTGAATAGGACAGGACAATATGACTTTTATTTTTATTTATTTATTTATAAGGAAGTTATTAGGTGATAACTCCTGCTTTGGTACCTTCCCCAGTTTTGTGGTCACAGGTCATGTCAACAAACCATGAATTATGGCTGTGTCTCAATTCATGGGCTGGGTCTTCATGAGTGTGCTTTTGTTGGCCACATATGTCASTGCCCCACACCGAATACTGTCCCAATTCAAAGACTCCTCCTCATGTGACCGACAAACTCTCGAAATCCAAGGATGCATCTGTGTATCCTCACCGGCCGAGGATATCCCAGGATTTGATGTGCAGGCAGCAAAATAAACAGAGAAACGAAGACGGTGGAGTTTTTATTTTTTTAACAAGTCGGCGTAGTTTGGAAATTCATCACGGACCGAAGAATTTGTTTTTAAAATTAAGTTTAGCAACTTAGCTGTTGAAATTTATACTGCAATAAGACGTTAAATAAAAAAAATGCAACTACAAGTGTTGATACTGGAGCTAAACCCAAATTATTAATGCTGTTTTTATTTATTTTTATGAAACATTTCAATTGTGAAGTTATTTTACCAGTGAAAAGACGTGTAAATAAATATCCCAATGCATTTTAAGTCTGATATGAAACTGATCTCCGAGGTAATTGGGTAATGTGNTTTTTAAATTTATTTACATGTAACGTTTTACTGTGAAGTTATTCTTCCAGTAAAGAAAAGGGAAAATACATTTCCTGAGCGCTCCCACTTGTATTTTAAGTCCGACATGAAACTGATCACTATGGTAACGTGGGAGCGCCTGGTCACACAAACATACGTAAAGCTGATGTCAGGCGAAGGATAGACCGTCTTATTTCACAACAGYTTTGAGCAGCCCGGCCCAGGGAGGACGTGGCCCATGTGCCCCAGCTGGGCTACGTGCTCATGAGGACCCAGCCCGTGAATTGAGACACAGCCTATGTGTATCATTAACACCCCTATTTTAAAGTAAAAGTACATAGATGTATATTCTTTTCGTATATATTGCTGCTGCACCCCTAACCTCATTCTTCTTCAATCACATTGTCTATCTTTGCTCTCTGTCAGCTTTGATTGGCCAGCTGATTTGATCAGTATCAGTACAGGACATCATGCTGTTCATTGATATTAGTTAGATGATGTGCTGGGATAAAGTTCTGCTGCGTCCAGCATGTTTATATGCGCCGAGTTGGTCAGATGAATAAACACTAAATACCTGTTATTCATCAAAAAAAGTCATGGTCAGAAGATAGACAGGCAGAGTACAAAATGTGCTTTCTATGTTTGTTTACATACTGTATAGCTCAAGAAAAAACTATGCATTTATTAAATAATTTCAATATCAATAACTTTTCCAACCTAAACAGGTTTCTATACCTCATCTATAGAAAGTTACTATATTATTATGCAGATATTTAAAGTCTGAACCTGCTGTGTGTTTTGTTTTGTTTTGTTTTGTTTTGTTTTGTTTTGTTTTGTGCTTTCAACTTGTAGCTGACAAGTTCTGCTTTGTTTTCATTAAGAGTCATAATATAATAATAGGGATAAATTCCTGTATTGATTTCCCTCAAAGGATGACTTGCAACTACATCTGAAGGTGGATTTTTTAACTTAATAATAAAACATTTTTGCTTCATTCTTGTATAAAATGTGCTGAACTCAGAACACACAGCTTGTGTAATGGACTTTATTGTGTCTGTTGCTTTATTTGTTGTATTATTAAAGAATATTGCTCATCATTTGTAACTATATTTTTAAATTGTTTAATGCTAATTAAGGTGAGTGTTTTGCTACTTTTTACATGAAAGTTGTATTTAAATATACAGTATTTTATTGTGTGGCACTGATCAGCTGCAATTATACTTTTAACTGAATTGTTTTGAAAATGTTTGTTAAACAGCTTGATTGTTGTGCCTTGTTTAATAGGTTTGTAAACTTGCCTTGGCTCTTTAATGTATAAAAATGTGCCAAAAGTGTTTACTTGTCTACACAGTGTTTGAATAATATTTAATCTATAAAACAATTAAAGTTCCTTGAAGGAATGCATATCGCCTGCCACCTTTTATGACAAAATTATAAACTAACATCATATACTGGGAAAAGATGACGTTGTGGTCRTTTTGGTCAAACCATGTGTTACTGTTGATTTCACGAGATGTATCATTGCTCAGAAAATGTGCTGATAATGACTCAGCTACTACGACAAAATCTGATCTAATCTGTTATTGAAATTTTTGTGTTGCAGTTAGCTGTGTACCAWCTTGACTTGTRTTGACTCCAAATGTCAATRAGTTGTTGATGTACAGTTAATATTTAAGTCTTAAAGTGTTTGACTAAAAAATGTTAAGTGGTTCAGAAGATGTTTTTCTAACAGCAGGCAGTATAACAAATGGTACCAAAGATCTTATTCAGTTCATTTCAATTCAAAAATACTTTATTGRTCCCAGAGGGAAATTAGGTGTTGTAACTCATTTAACTAAAGAGTTATTGTAGATGCTGATGCAGKGGTAGACATAACCATTGTTTAGGTTGTCTGAGACAACCTATTTTCATTTCGGTCAACCAGATCCTGTCTACTGGTTGTYYGGTGGACAACCAAGCAAAAAGACCTTGATTAAAGTTCTCTGCCGTGGGTGTTCGTCATTGTAAAAATGAACGGGAGAAAAAACTTGGTAAAACTGAACAGAAATCTAAACTGTAACTTTTAATAAGGTCATGTACACAGAATACTCCTATTTAAGTGAAAATGTTTGACTATGAGAAGAAAGAAGCTTATGTTGAACTCTATTTCAAAGAAGAGAATGAGGAAATTTTATTCATGCAGCTCCTGTCAACCTGGCTGACTGAGAACAATTATATATAATAAACTTCGTCTACAGAAAAATATTCTTGTTAAATTACAATTTACTTGAGATTCTTTTGGACAACCAAAATGTTTTTGCGGACAACTAGGTTTTATCAACAGGTTGTCCGATGGACAACCTGAAAAATTTCCTTATGTCTACCCCTGCTGATGGCTGTGGGCAGGAAAGCTTTTCTGTAGCATCTGTATTACAATCAAACTGAAGAAGCCTCTGACTGAAGACACTTTACTTTTCTGACAGTCTGATGAAGAGGATGGTCAGGGTTGTCCACAATGTTCTTGATTTGATGTAAAATCCTTCTTTGCACCATCATCTCCAGAGATTCCACAGTCGTCCCCAGAACAGAACCAGCCTTCTTTATCAGGTTGTTTAGCCTTTTTAGATCCCTGGCTCTGATGCTGCTGCCCCAACAGATGATGTAGAAGATCTTGTAGAAGATCTGCAGCATCTCGCTGCAGACATTGAAGGATCTCAGCTTCCTCAGAAAGTCCAGTCTGCTCTGTCCTTTCTTGTAGACTGCTTCACTGTTGAGTCTCCAGTCCAGTCTGTTGTCCAGATGAACACTGAGGTATTTATATTCCTCAACCACCTCCACTTCTTCTCCCATGATGGAAACAGGGTTTGATCTAAAACTATTTCTCCTGAAATCTACAATCATCTCCTTTGCCCAAACCATGCCACAAAGCGGTCCACCAGCTCTCTGTCCTCAGCTTCCTGTCCATCTCTGATTCACCCAACAACTGCAGAGTCATCTGAGTATTTCTGTAGATGACAGCAGTCTGACGTGTTATAGGTCATAGTGCTCATTATTAGGTTGATAATCAGAGAATTTGTTGTAAATAACAGTTAAATAATAGTTATTACAACAACAGCTTAATATCTATAAAACTGAGTGAGATAAAGCAATCATTGGGTTGGCCAGTTTTTATTAGTCATAGTCTTCCAGAGTTTGGGATGACTCAGTTGTGGGTATGCCATTGATTTCTTTCAAAAAGTTTTATTCAAAACTGAACATCGAGTCATAGAATATTTTGCTGACAAACAGTGATGACTGCAAAAGTTAAATTTGATGCCAAAATATTTTTCAGTGTGTAGTGCTCAAAGGATGTGTAGGGGATGACTCTTAGCTGCTGGGTGGTTATAGAGTAGTTGTCCTCCAATAAGAGAGTTGCAGGTTTGACTCCGCCAGTATGCCATCACGAGTCAAAGTGTCTCTGAGCAAATACCTGAACCCTTCTATGCCTCTGATGTGTCTCATCACTGTATGAATGTGATCTAAAGCCCCCATTAGACAGAGATAACGTAATGTATGAGAGTGTGTTAATGAGGGAACAGGTTGTGTTGCGTAGCCTGGTTGGCTAAAAAGGGTCTATATACATACAGTCCATTTATCATTTTCTAGMATTCACAATTTTAGCTCAATATTTGTAAAACTGACTGACCCAGTTATGTAGTAAGATTGCTTTGCAGTGGAGGCCATCTTGAAATGTGCTGGCTGTGAAAGTTACTCAGTTTTAGATGTACAGCCAATGATTTTTTTCTGAAAATAATATGTTCCTCCTGAATCTGAGGTTYGACCATCGACCCAACTCTCTTCTCCAGCATCCCTGAAAAGACTTTACCAGGAAGGATAAGGAGAGTGATGCCCCTATAATTAGAACACACCCTCTAGTCCCCCTTTTTGAAGATGGGGACCACAACCCTGGTCTGCCAATCCAGTGGCACTGCCCCTGATGTCCACGCAATGTTGCAAAGGATGTTGCATTATGCTTAAACATAATAAAACAGAAAGCATATGTGTTCTATTGTCTCTGACAGCAGATGAGAATAAAAWTTGGTAGTGAACTATGTTTAACAAACCAGACAGAAATGACAAACACTTGTAAAAAAAAGTTTATTTACAAACGAAGAGAAACTACACCAAATGAATCACTACATTTAACTGCAGATAATATGATTTTACATGTAGTGAACTGAGCCAGATTCCTGCTCAATATTTACTTTAAATCATCGCAGACACTCAACTCAGTTTGCCTTCAGRAGACGGGAGGAAATTTATCAAGCTCCACCTGCTGGATCGGTTTCACTACGAGGAGAAATAGACTGTTTTAGATTTACTACATGGTTCACTGCAGTGTCTTAGAGACGCAACTATTTCTGAAGGCATGAGACAAAAAGTTTCACTCCTCTCTGGAACTGCTTTAGCAATTCTTTTTTACCCTTTCATTTCATGATGTTTTAATTCATGATTGTAGCAACTGCCAAACAAAATATAGACCAGTATCATTCTTTTTGGGACACAGCAGAAGCAAAGGATGTGCTGTAAAGCAACATGATGCAATCAACAGTTACATGCATGTTTTTTTAATCCCGTCTGTTGAACTGACATTTCACTGCATCTTTTTCTGCCCCTCAGTCAGTCTGTAACCTTTGTGAGCATTTAAAAATAAATCACATCAAGATTTTTTTTTATCTTCCAGTGATTTTGGACTTTTATGGTTTGATTTAAATGAGTACATCTGTCATTGAGTTTGGGTTGAGATAAAAAAAAGTGTGTATACATTTATTTCACTGTGATAAAAACAGCTCATGTGTGGTTTTACAATAATTCATGTATTTTTTTTTATAAATACGTTAGCTGTTTCACACTAACATGTAAAGTTCAGGCAACAAACTATGTAAAATATGACTTTGGTCCTAACAGAACAGGAAGAATAATTTCTCATTTCTGTTTGATTCAGTGGTTCATTTGAAATTCACAAGACAGCTCAGTCTGGGACTGACGTGGGTTCTGTCCACCTCGGTTCATTCAGAGAGGCTCTTTGCCACAGCCTCACACTCAGTCCCACACCACACACATGGAGGTGGAGGTAGTCAGAGGTCATGAAAAAACCAAAGGGTCTCAGTAATGATAAACTGATAGTGAGCGACTGCCCTGCTGGTAGGATTAAACATCAACAGACAGATTTATTACCAAGCGAATACTGAAAATGACATGGAACAGCAGCTTTGATGAACCACCCAGAGTATCGCTAAAGTAAGTCATTTCAATTTGTTTTGTTTGATACAARGCAGATGTCCATGCTTTGCATTACGYTTCAAGCTCAGCTGAGTTCTGCTCCTTTCCTCCCGCACTGCTGGGTTCATTTCTGAACGCGTACACATGAGGGGAACTGGCCAGCATCTCCATTGAAACATGGAGAGTTACTACAACGATGCACGTAGCTTAGCTGCGGTGCAAGATTTTTTTCAGCAGGAGCCCAGCRGGTCTGAGTCTTATGCATTCAAGCCGSTGGCTCAAGGCGCTGACTCAGCGATGAGTCTGTCTGTGTTGCTGAGACAACGTGRGACAGAATGGGTCCAGATTCTGAGYTTTAAAATGATGTTAGCATCGTTGCTATCATGAGATAACGTTCAGAACAGTAACAAATTTTCATCACAGTACTCGCTGTTCCASCCCCTGACTCACTGCAGGCTCTGAGGCTTAGAACCAGGAGCTAGCATGCACTATGCCGTTTTAACAAATAGGAAAATTCAACTGCAGTAGTCATTGTTCAACTCAGAGAGGTCAGCACCAAGACGATTTTACACCAAATATTGCAGAATTAAATAAATTTACACAAAAATGTCAAAATTTGCMCAGAAATATAAACATAATAACCTTAAGGCCCAATTTAGACAGTTTATCTGCAAARGAAATGTTCATTTGGGGTTTAGTTACTCTTTAATGCAAYCTACTTTAAACAAMATGAGCATTTCTTTAACCTTCCAGWGTGTAAYWTGGAAGRGAATCTAGKAAGAAGAAAAWGAAAATATTTATAAATAGTGTGACAACAGATAAAATGCTGAAGAGGCTTTGACTCAACAAGGTTTTTAGGCCGTTAATTATACAGTCTGTCAAATTGTTCAGCTTTTACCGTTTTTAGCTACATTTAAAGAATAAAAAGTATTTATCACAAAAAGAGCTGTGTGTAAAGGAAGTTCCAGTCACAACCAAATTTTGGAGATWTTTTAATAGACTCAGTTCTCATAATGTATATATTTTTATGCATTAGATGTTTTGTTTGTTTCAGGGTGGATTCTTTACTCCTTCATAGAAAAGAAAATACTCTAATTTTTTAAAGTTTATTCATCTGCAGCAAACATCGCAGTTAAGCACTAGAAACTGTGCACAGCATTAAATGTCCAAATACTTAGATGAAATAGAAAATACAATAAAATTTAAACAGTGAAAACCTGAAATGTATTAATTCTTTCAGCTCCTTACTGCCATTCCCACATGAGACAGTCCACTCCTTTGTGTTCCTTTGGCAACTCGTTCTAATGTTCTTGATATTGGTGTAGTTTAGAGTGTTTGACACCAGAACCAATTCACAAGTCAGTGGGTACCAGGCGCTGAGTCCCCTCAGTCCACTTCTCACACCTTTGAGTCTTTGACCCCTGACTCCAATGACCTCCATTCACAAAAAGGTCCTCATCCAGAGCAGCAYGGGGAGCTCAGAGTCATCCGTCTTCTTGTCACAGTCATACCTGCTTACCARTTGGCCCGGCTGCCCACTCTTTGTGTCAAACACTGACGCTGACATGGCGACAGGATGCCGGGCGACGTTTGATGCGGGAGCGCCGCGGTCTGGATTCATTCTGGCAGCTGCACAGCGGGCCGAGCAGCAGCCAGAGGTAGAGGATCACACAGGCCCAGCAGGACGACATCTTCACCCAGAAGGTAGACCAGCAGCCGTGGGTGAAGGTGGTCTCCAACACTGCTGACTCGTAGCTTCGAAAAGACAGCAACAGTTACAACAGGAAATATACATATTCTTAAAAAGTCCTCTAAATATCAAGCTAATGTTCCTAACCAACCTGAACCAGTTAGTGAGGGTCATCATGACGTACAACGAGGCCAAGAAGAAGACAAAATGAAAGAAGAAGTAGCTGTACGCCACTCTCTGGTTCTCATTGTGAATGACCTTCTGACAGCCTTTGTCGTCGTCATCGATCACAAACTCCTCTTCAGCTGGAAGAAAAACACAGACATGTCTAAATGACTGCTAGCATGAACCTAATGACAATCCTATCCTGTTATGGTTATGGTGAGTGAGGAAGGATAAATAACCCATGTAAGCAGGAGCCTCCTAAGTGGGCCCATTGCTCTCCCACACTGGTCTTCATTCAAACCTTCTTGTCCCTCGGATGAAGGACACCAGGTTAGAAACACTCAGTGTTCTGAGCTTCTCAGGATCCACAAAGGGGTCCCCAAGAATTATTTTCCTTTGACCACTCAGAGCCAGGCAGGGGTCTGAGTAGTGCAAAGAGGTCTCTAATTCWAAGCCACAGGCATCACACAGACCATTGTCATGGAGTTCCATCACCATTTTGTGGTGGTTGAGCAGGTTGTGCCCAGTTAGGACTCCAACCAGTGTACTTAAGAGTTTTCCTTGACAGGGAGATGAGAGCTTTCCCAAACCTTAGATTTGGGCTGTTAATCAGTTCCCGTGCCTGTCTACAGTCCGTCAGCTCCCTCCAGCAGATTGTTGACATCTAATCCAGGCCTGTAGGGCAGTCCTACAGACTGTTGTTGAGATACCTACAACAGGCTCTGGTCCTTTGAAGTGAGCCTGACTGCCAGCTTTTGCGAGGTAGTCAGCGCTCTCGTTACCATAAATGCCAGTATGTCCTGGTCCCCATTCAACAGTAACACCGTAATCTCTCCCCAGTTGGTTGACTGCTTCGGCACACTCCCAGGCCAGTAATGACGTAAAGTGTGGCCCTCAGAGAGCTCTAATAGCAGCTTGGCTGTCTGTTAGGATGAATATTTCCTTCTGTGTACACTGAAGGTCTTCGAGAGATGCCACACACTGGTGGATTGCATATATCTCAGCTTGAGATACAGTTGCAAAACCACCTAGTGGGTAACTGTACTCTCTCTCACTATGGTTGTGCAGAATCAGCACCCCTGCACCTACTGACCCCTTTATAAGGGATCCATCTGTAAAACAGTAGAAATAACTGGGAGGCATGTCTGTCAGAGAGGTTAATCCAGACAGACCGGTCTTCTATATCTGTCTTAAACTTGGCTCAAAAGTGTATTTATTGACCATTCTGTCTCCAGGTCCTGCAGTTACTGGAAAAGCAGCAACTTGCCCAGTCCCAGATTCTTGTGTGCTGTGAGTCAAATAGGCTTTTCCACCTACCATACTGGCGTAGCCTTACTACACTGGATGTAGCCTCCCCTAAGATATGTAAATCCAGTAGAGCCAGGTCCAGTAGGACTTCAATGGCTGCTGTGGGTGTTGTTCTGATGGAACCTGTGATGCTCAGGCAGGCCATTCATTGCACATGGGTGAGCATCACTCTTGCCATCCCAGTTTGGACTCAAACCCACCACACTAAAGCAGCATAGCATAGCATGGGGCAGACTATGGCCGTGTAGATCCATCTGATAACCTTTGGGATAGCACCCCAATGACTACCTGCAATTCTACAGCACTGGTGTAGGCACATTCTTACACTTCATTTACTTTTCCAGTTAAGCTTCCTGTGTAAATAGAAGATTTAACCGACTCTGTCGGGGATAGTTCTGCACCCTCCAACTTTGGAGGTGAGTAACCCTTCCTTGACCCTGTTAATTAACTTCAAGACAATGCTAAATGAAAAAAATAAAAAAAAAACAGAACAATTTGATCAGTTATTTAAAAAAGAGCTCCTGCTCAAAACTCATTCAAATAATGACAAGCTTACTCCAAATAATAATTCTTCAGCTGAAAAAGTTCCACATTTTACATTTAGGACTACAATAAGATCCCGTTCAGTGTGTCTACAAACCTGCTTCTTCCTCAGGACAGCAGAACCAGCAAGTTGCTTTCTGGAACTCATAGCGATAAACTTTGATCATCCAAAATGGGCCAAACACCTCTGCCAAGTAGGAGGCTTCGTTACTGCAGGGGGATAAAATTAAAGCACATTTGTCTTCAAATAATTTACATCTTGTGGTTTTTCCTAATGTCAGGAGCTGATAGTCATGTACAAAGATCTATTCAACACTCATGCTCACACAGTACTACCAAAAGCTGGATTTATTGTTTTTGTTTTAAGACTGTGAGGTGTGGCACACATCTGTCTCCTTCCCAAAGCTCGACCCCTACCTGTTAAATTGTCAAAGTGGACTAATCTGCTTCCTGTAACTACCAGTAGTTAACAACACTGATTTCTTTTCTGAACACTGGTTCACTCCTGTCCCAGTTTTATATCTAATTGTATCAGATATAATTTTCTACTGCTGTGCAAAAACAACACCATCAGTTTATACGTTTCAAACTCATTTGGTATATTTTACCTTATTTAAAGTAATATATTAACTCTAGCAGCAGCATGTTTGGAATAGTTGATCCAAAATGCTGCTGCTAGAGTTTTAATGAGAGTTGGAAGGAGAGATCATATTTCTCCAGTTTTAGCTTCTCTCCACTGGCTCCCTGTCAAATTTAGAATAGAATTTAAAATATTACTCCTAACATAAAGCTCTTAACAACCAAGCTCCATCATCTATTAAAC